GCACTTATGGAAACAATAGTAATAAAGTGTTTTACAAAATACATGGGTATAAAATAATAAAAAACGAGTCCGTTAAAAGCTGTTAAAATTAGACATTAAAAACCTTTAAAACACCTTGGAGTATATAGAGTTAGCTTCGTAATACTGAGGGCCGTAAATTTGTAAATTTTAACCATACAGTCTATGCTTTTCACACTTAAATATAAATTAGATTATCATCAGGTCATAGATTTTCACAATAATAACAGAATACAGTTTTCTAAATGTTGATTTATTTCCTCTTCATTCATATTGTACTCTGTCAGGATGAGACAGGAAGTAAACTTGGTAACCGTGGAGACTCCGCCGTGTCAAAGGGCACCACAGACAGTGGGGTGGTGATGGAGAACAAAGAGATCCCTGAGTTACCTGGAGCGATGCCCAGAAAACTCCCTCCTCTGATACCTGAGCGTGTTGGAGAAAGTGTCGCAGACACAATGACACAAGATGGTGGGTGTGTTCAACAAGTGTGTCTCACTGAAGAGAAAATCCACTGTACACATCTTAAGTGTCTCTATTTGATTGTGGCTAGGATTGCTGCAGCAGGATGGTACAATGCAGGAGCGGCAAAAGTCCAGTGAGATCCTGGAGGAGCTGCTGAATCAGGGCATCATCCCGGTGGGACAGAGCAGAGAGAGGAGCAGCGTCGCTGGAGAGGCCTACAGCATCATGGTGGGTACTGTGAGGGAAATCTTACAGGGTGGTGGAATTGAACCGAGTGATGTCTGAGTAGAAGTGTTTATTCTCAACACCAGAGGCATCAGGGCGACCAAAGAAGATGAGCTGTACAGAGAAATAACAAGTTAACAGCAGTATCTGCATTTCTGAGCTGTTCTTTCACAAAAAAGTAGAGGCCACGTATTGTCATGCTTCATGTGGACCTACGCTGTTGGACATCCTGGGTTAGAGAAGCTCTAAACTTTAAAAGACCTGTAATGTTAAGGTTGGGCCCTGTCTCCCTCTGCTGTTTGTGCGTGTGTGTGTGTTTGTGTCTGTGTCTGAGACAGCTGGATGACAGAGATGTGGTCAGGCAGAGGCCTGCGAGATTGGAGTCCCTGAAGGTCAAAAACGAGCAAAGTCCCCCCAGCAGAGAAGAGCTAGAGGAGAAGATGAGACTTGTTGAAGAGAGACGCAAGGTACAGTGTGGTCGTGTGTGTGTGTGTGTGTGTGTGTGTGTGTGTGTGTGTGTGTGTGTGTTTGTGCTAACCTTTTGTCTTTGAATTTTACTACTCCTCCCTTTCAGTCAAGGGAAGACAAGCTCAAGACGCGTTTAAGGACCAAGTCTGCGCGTGTCCGTGTCCCTGCCACTGTCAGTGCAGCAGAAGATGAAGACACATCCCTCACACCTGTGACACCCCTCACCTTTGACCCCACACCGAATCCACTGTTGCTCACGTCCGAGGGAAGAGAGTGTGTAAGAGAGGCTGGAGGTGATGACAGAGAGAATGAAAAAGGAATGGGAGTAGAGAATAGAGCAGAGAGAGAGGGGCGTGGAGATGACAGAGGGGAAGGTGCAGAGCAGGCGAGTGAGAACAGTGATGATGATGATGATGATGATGATGATGATGATGATGATGATGATGATGATGATGATGATGATGAAGAGGAGGAGTTGAACCAGGTGGTGGAGCTCCAGGCGGGGCAGCTCCTCACAGCCTCAGGGGAGCTGGAGTGTGATTCCACTTTTCAACATGTCGAAGACAAAGAGGAGAAATTTTAAATGATCACATGAATGAGCCAATAATCAGCACTAAGACAAAGGAAGCCAAAATGATTCCTTTTGCACATAAGGAGGGTAAAGATAGAAAATATTAAGTACAGTCAATGTTGTTTGGAGATAAATTGAAAGATGTAATAAAGCTGTGATTAGACAGGTAAATTATTCTGATGTCAATGTGAATATCTAGCATCATTTCCACTGCAGGGAAGCACATCAGCTCGTAAATCGTTGTAATATCTTTGCTCATTGATAAGCACAAAGGAATATGAGGGTTTTCTTTTCTAATGCAGTGTTATTAAACTTTAATAAACATGACCAAGGTTTAATGCTCTTGCCAACATACCAAAATAAATTTTGTATTTTATTATAATCGTGGAAAAAGAATATTATCAAGTGCAATTTAGCATGTAAATGGTGAACTTTGGGCAGATGGACACAAGATGGAGCTGTCTCAGTGGGATGAAGTTGTGTTAACCTCTCACTGGTCTTTAAAAAGACAAGGTGTATAGAGATTTGGTGACAGGTGAGGATGTGCCTTTTGAAATTAAGTGTAAAATGATGTTGTTAATAATCAATAAAGTTCCCTTTTTTCTCCCGGAGTTTTGTTGTTGTGATATAAGGGTGTGTGTGTGTGTGTACCAGTGATTAGTCTGCATCCAAAAGTATAAAACTTCATCTTTAAATTGACTCATCCTTCAGGGTAAAATGTACCTTTTAGATTTGTTGATATATATGAGAGGTTGGGGGGTGTGTAACCTTGGTGTGACCATGCTGTGGGTATTCAGCTGTTCTAGTGACCTTTGACCTTTCATTTTTCCTGCATGACAGGTGTGTGCTACGGCCACATGAGTTAAAGTTAAAGCACTGACTACAACCTTTGTCTCGATTGTCCTGGGGGAAAAACAGTTTTGTATTTGAAAATACAACATTTTGATATTTGTATTCATTTAGAAACAGGTCCAGCAAACATGGGAGCCACATTTGATTGCAGACACATTTATCCTCCAAGATAATCCTTGTGTGTAATCTGTAGCTATCATTTTAAGTATTTCTAAAACAAAAAGTCTGATTAAAGTTTAAAATGTGCCCCAGACTGTTATTGTTTAAAAATATAAGAGGAATCAGACGAGTCAACATGTTGCTCATGAGCAGGGACAACAGGGCGATGCAACTTGAGCGGATCCCCATTGTGGAGCCTGTGAAACTGGATATCGGTCCTCCCTCTCACGACTCCAGTCAGACTCCAACCGGCGTGTGGCTGCATTAATAAAATAGTGAGCAAACAGAGACGCTGCAGAAAGACGCTCTATCAGGTTGCATTTCATTGTGATCTTCAGTGACGAGTAAGAGAGGATTTATATAGAGACCCTTTCATGATACAGATTTTGGTTGTAGTTATCAACCTACACAGAGCACATCGGAACAGATGTAACTTCATTAGCATGGTATGCTGGACGACACCTAACTATGTTCCCACTGTGAATGTGTCAGCATGTGTTGTACGCAGTGACAGGATATAGGCCAAGATGCTCACAGAAGCGAAGCGGCCATAAATGATTCACAGCAGGGTTCCCTCTCACATTACTGGAGGAGAATGACTTCGTCCTGGCTGCTCAAAGGGAGATCCAGAGATCCATCCGTCAGGAGGCCAAACAGCACATCAGTTATTTTAATCACTCGTGCTCAGAGACATTGTTGAAACTATTTATAATTATTTATTATTTATAATCATTTAGTAGAATTATAAGTTTCATATATGATTTTTAGGTATGATCGAGATTCTGTACTGGACAGAGTGGAAGCCATGCACGATGGACACAGAAACTTGCCAAAACCTTTGTCAACCCCCCACATGTGAAGGCCGATCCTTCCAGCAGAGTCCCAGTGCTGCACCTGTCTGTCTGCTGCTGCTGTTGTAATGCGTCCGTCCCTGGGGCTGTGTTCAGTCCCTGACCGGCTGTTTATATAGGAGACCTAATCCACGCAGGCCTAGAGACACGAGGGACAGGCCTTTTTCAACAGTCCACTTCGGATTTACATTTTATCTCACCAAAGAGAGAAAAGACTATAAATAATAATATTAATGACAAATAACAAACTTTAGTTCTGCAGCACTTATGGAAACAATAGTAATAAAGTGTTTTACAAAATACATGGGTATAAAATAATAAAAAACGAGTCCGTTAAAAGCTGTTAAAATTAGACATTAAAAACCTTTAAAACACCTTGGAGTATATAGAGTTAGCTTCGTAATACTGAGGGCCGTAAATTTGTAAATTT